ATATATATATATATATAGGTAATTCTAAGTATCATATCTTATTTCGCCTCTTGAAAGTTTTCCAGACTTAAACAATTTGCAGGGCAACATCATAGAAAGTGGGTTAACAGCAAACTTAGACTTTTGTCAAGTGGAAGAAAAGAGAGCTCAATTTATTTTAGATTTGACCATTTACTTTTACAAGAACCTTTGAATTTGTGCTGTAGAAGTGCATTTTTGAAATTTTTTAAAATTTGTTTTTGATAAACAAGGGAAAATAACATACTATGAGTCTAGACAGTGTAATAGAGAACCATTGGAAATGACGTAAAGAGAGAATTTGTAGATCAAACTTTTAGAGAAGAAACATTTTCTGGTGAAGTATTTCTTGTACAAAATGTTTTAGAAAGCGATGCCTAGTGATACCCAGGAATACAATGTGTGAGATAGCCATAAGTTACAAAAATCTTCACTAGTGACGGTACATTTTTTTTCTGTAATCAGCTAGCGTCTGACTAGAACTGGGGTAGTATCGTACTGGAAGACGTCTGAAATTGGCTAGCTCAACAATAAGTATGTATCACAAAATTTTTGCTGTTGAGAAAATTTAAAGAAATTTATTGTAACGAACACTTATTGAGCTTGCGTTGCGCCCTTTAGTAAACTCGTTTGTAACAAATATTTCCTCAATAAAAAACGATTTTTTTCTTTGCCGGAAACAAAAAAAATTTACTAATTTGTCTTTTTGAAGAAATTCAGAGGCCTCTAAAACGATTAAATTTAAAATAGACCGGGTTTTTTTTCTTGCACTTGGCAAGGTTCTAACTTCGCTTTCAGCCCACTTTTTGTGATGTTCCCCAACAAGCTCTTTAAGTCTTAAAAAGTTTTGAAAAGCCAAATGAGACATGAGCGTCATGTGACATGCGATTACCTATATATAAGCTTTTTTCAGATGATCATATCTAGTGATTATTGCTAATTTCTCTCTTTATTTTCTACATTCGGCGAAGTCTCAAAAACGAAGCGAAATGTTGCCGGAAATGTACACGAATAGGTGTTCTACCAAAACATATTCGTTATAACAGGATTAAATGTTCTAAATGCTCCTACAGCTTCTGCTCGCTCTGTGGGGATATGCCACACTGACCGCTCAGATGTGACGAGATAAAAGAATAGACCGAAAAGTTGAAAACAACAAGTAATTTTTTATAATCTAGTTTTCACTAATTTTCACCTCAAAAATGAAAAAATTCAAAAATTTTTAGTGTGTGTAAATCTTTACTAATAAGGATTGAACTTTTGCAGAAAAATATGTGGAGATGCAGTTGAACGGCAAACTACGAGAAATGATAATTGCCAGAGACTGTTTTATTTCCCAGAACAGATTTGAAGTTCCAGATTACGCCAAATTTGCCAGCTGTTGTTGCAATCCGCACGCAGCTTACGAGTGCAGTACTGGAACACTACATACTCGTTACAACATGCAACTATATATTCGCGACAGATATTATAATGTTGTTCGTTTTAAAGCATTGTATTAGCAAGCAACATTTTTGAGTTTTTCGTTTAAAACTGCAAAAAAACCACTGTAAAATGAATCTTTGCAGAGAAATAATGCTTTTTTTCTTGAGAATACCTGAAAAGTTACCGACACATTAAAAATAAGTTTAAGGCAAAATAACAAACACTTATCAACCACATAACAGGCACAGTTTCCGATGTGAGCTTTTAGCTGAGAGAACAACCAGGATGAGAATTCTATCTGTTGAGACTTTCAATTGCAAAACTGAAAAGCAAAGCGTCAAAAGTCTGGTGACTCTGGTAGCGTCAGCATGAATTTCGACCAAAATCTGACATATTGAAATACCTTTGAATATATAGGGTATAACGTAATGTTAAAGTGTAACGTAATATAACGCCAACCGACAAAGAATGACCACATTGTTAAGGTGGACATTGTATAGACAAAATATTTACAGGTATCAATTGTATTTTGACTAAAAAACTATAAAGATCTAAAAGCTCCTGCACTTTGACGAGCTCATACATGTTTTTTGAGAATGCACCTCTTTTGAGGCCCCTTTCTATCGCAAGCTGCAACTAGAGCGGCGTCCTTGTCGTCGCAGCTTGAAGCAGCCGAGGAGACATGTCGATCATGTCTACTTGGACTTCGGAATTGCAATGCTTCGTTCTCCTGAGAAAAGGTGGTGGTCTGCAATGAAAGGTTTATAAACAACAGTGAGACATTATGGACTTCTTTGACATTTTTTGCGAAGGTGAGGGCAGAGCGGTTGATGAGGAGTATGCAACTGCAGCATAAGATAGTCGGGACGATGACGTCACGACAGTCGTGAAAAAAGTAGTTTGATCAATCAAGTTTGAGGTAAGGTAGATGGCATTAGTTGGAATAAGAAACTGTAGACGGGTTTGACCTCTTACAGCAGCCTGAGGGTAGACAAGCTGATGAGGTGCGACTCGATTAGCGCCTTTCAAATGAAGAGCTTTTGAAAAATTGAATGATCGGTTGCTGATCGATCAAGATAAAAGGCCTTCACTTTCACACAGCGCCACGAGGAAGCGGATGGTGCTTCTGAATTTGAGACCAAAGACGGTGCAATGCGTTGTCCCCATGTATGGTCTTAAATACAAAGTCGTTCATGTAGAACTGCAAAAGCGCCCTCTCCGTCAGATACCTTGCTTTGTGCCATTGTTTAAACTTCTGTCATAGAGACTCGATAGTGTTTGCGTAACCACGGGTCTCACGATCAATAAAGTAGAGGCTGTGGTTAACAATCTCATGCTCATACCTCTCGCGCATTTTTTTGATGGTGCTGTATACCGTCCACTGATCAGCCACTGCAGTTCTGCATGATAAGCCGATATAGTTGGATACATTTCAACCGTTTAACAGACAGTTACGGCAATAAATCATGTAGTGATAATAAGATAAAACAATAATAAGTGTGCGTAATGTCATAAACATACAAAACAGCAATTGAGTAAATCTTAACAAATAAAAAAAACTAAGACCATCAAAATGATTATCAGATCCTTTTTTTAAAGATATTTTGCTAAATAAACGGCATCATATTGCTGTAAACAATCACGATGTATAAAACTGTATTCTGCAAGTTCAAAATAGTGCCTGTTTACTTCGTACGAAAATAAATAGAAATTTGCCTTTCCCAACACCTGAAAGCTTACGGGAACATTCAAAAATGGAGCATGAGACAAAACAACAAATATTTATCAGCAAACCAACAGGCGCACTTCTTGCTATCAGTTTTTTCTAAAAGAAAAACCGAGACAAAAATTCTATTTGTTCAGGAACTTAGCTGAAAAACGGTAAAGCAAACCCTGAGAAGTCCGGCGACTCCAATAACGTCGGCGTGAATTTCGACCAAAATTTGGCATACTGCAATACCTTTCAATATATAGGGTAGAACGTAGTGTTCAGCACCTGCACAGTAAATCTTTGTTAATACCAGGAAAGCATTACTTGTAAAAACCATAAAATACGAAGAAATTTGTTAGAATGTCTTCTCATTTTTACACGATCTCTGATCCCAGGTTTTAAACTTTAAAAACATCACTTTTTTAAGGTTTCAATTGTTTAAAAAATTTTACCAATTGTCTCTTGTGAGTAAAAGAGGCAATGCAAAAGTTCGGATCTCAAAGTAACCTGCAGAACATCAGCAGTCGCTTTTGATGCGGTTAGCAAAACTATGCGTAGTTCTCTTTTTCTTCACCATTTAATTTTTCATTCAGATTTAAACAACTATGAGCAATCATTTAACCTTTTTTGCGCTTTGATATCGAAGTCTTAGACAAATTTTGCTTTACCTTAAACTGATTTCTAAAAACAGGTGATATTCTCTTCAAAAAAAAATGTAAAATTTGCTGTATATTTCTTCTGTATTTCTCGTTCACTGTTTGGCTTTACTAATTTTTTGGTTTCCTCTTTTCTTACTTTGGAAATGCATGACGCTTGGCTCCAATGAAACACTCAAATTCTTCACTCACGCACAGCCGGGAATACAACTTGATAACTGATGAGAGCACAGATCTG